AAATATTCTCAGGTGAAGATTAAAACAAAATTTAAAAGATTATTTTCTGTTAGATATGACCACGGTACAGATTTCTTGATAGCATAAAAGTAGATGTGAGGGGTTATGTGGCAGAGGGGGTAGGCAGCACGATGGCTGAAAAGAACAGAATTGTACTCTGTTCCTCAGTCTAGATCCATTTAAACTTCTGGGCTGTCTGATGGATCCTTTAAAAATTAGCACAAAATTCCAGTGACATATGCAGCCAGTAAAGTTTTTCTTGGTCCCAAATAGTATGATGGTCACTTTTGAGTGCTCTGGAACCAACTTAGGTGCTGAAGTTCAGGGTCTGCTTACCAACTGCTTCACCCAGCAAAGAGTTCTCAAACCCCAGCCTCTTCATTTCTAAAATAGGGGAAGTACCAGTGTCCACCTGCACTAGGGTTTGCCAGCAAAACAGAGTGGACAGGACATAGGTGATAGACAGATGATAGTATTTTAAGAAATCAGCTCTTGCTATTGAGGGAGTTGGTTAGCTTGAAATCTATAGGGCGGGCCAAGCAGGAGGAGTGAGTTTGCCTTCCTTGAGAAACCCCGTTTTTGCTCCTCATGCCTTCAACAAATTGGATAAGGCCCACTTGTATTATCAAACATAATCTTTTTATTAAAGTCAGCTGATTGCAGATGCTAACCATATCTATAAAATAGCTGGATAGCAACACCTGTATTAGTGTTTGATTAAATGACTAGGTACTGTAGCCTAGTTGACTGTAAGACTAACCATCACGCTACTTCATAGGATTGTGGTAGTAACAAAATGAACCCAAATCCATCTAAGTCATTCAGTGCATTACCAAATACCTGGGAAGCCCTCAATAACAGGTATCTATTGTTATTTTAATTTGGTCATTGCTAACCCAATGAATTTTTCTATCTTCCAAATTACTCAGCACCTATTGCCATGTGCTAACTATAGTAGAAACAGGTTTTGACTACCACTTTCAAATGTGTCATTGTTTTCCTTCTTTAGCTTCACACTCTCGCTCCTTTTTTTTTTTTTTTAGTTCTGCTAAGATTTTGCAGACTCAAGGTGGAAGGAACAATTGGGAGCAGGAACTTGAATTAAAGGGATGGATGTGGTAGAGCAACTTCTATTCACCATTCACCTCAAAGGGAATTTTGCCCCTTGACCTATTTCTTAAGAAAGAATGGTCTAATATCAGGATATACAAAATACTTGAGAATTTAGACTTTTATCATCACTTTTCTGTTGGAATCCCCACTTATGCAATGGAAAGAACTGATGGTGAAAACCAGTATTGACTGTTAATTTAACTATTCATTTTGGTAGATTATAAAAACCAGTGACATGGGACTTAAGTTGTTCTTGGTCATAAGTAATTAGAGGCACCTATGTAGCTAAAACATGCAACAATTGTATATTTCAGTTAAACCATAAGTGAGTTATACTAACTAGAGACAAATCTAAGTGAAATCAAGGGAAATTGAAGTCAGGTTGTTAAAAAAAAACTATTTGGTAATTGGAGTGGAAGGGGACAGAAACACTATGAAAACTCAAAGACTCAAACTATGAACACAAATACTGTAAGGAAATTTTACATGTGTTTTGAAGAAATATTTAAACTAAGAAGGGTTTATGGCTTTTTTTAAAAAAAGAAAGACATATAAGTATGCTATTAGAAAGAGCTTCTGGATCATCCAAATAGTTTCTACAGAAGACTATTCAAGCTTAATGCAAAATTTGATGCAGATTCGTTGCTCTACTCTCAGTCATTTTTAATGTGGTGGCCACACAGTACACATGCTCACTCAACAGTGTCTACTGCCCCCACTTCCTAGTACAGTGAAGTCATCATTGTTCACGCATGAGCATTCCAGTCCACTCTCCTTGGCTGCCTGGTTACATGGATGTTGTGCAAACTGTTCTTGTTATCTTAACAAAGGCTGGACTTTTTCCAGACAGACCACATCTTTATCCAATCACCCACTGATGGAAACTTAGGTTGTTTCCATATCTTGATTATTGTAAATAATGCTGCAAATGAACATAGGGGTACATACATATAGTTGAAGGCTCTTTTTAGCAATACAGTAATCTCCCCTCACCCAAGTTTTCACCTTCTGAGGTTTCAGTTACCCTTGGTCAAATACAATCTGAAAGTATCAAATGGAAAATTGCAGAAATAAACAATCCATAAATTTTCAATTGCCTGCCAGTCTCAGTAGCTTAATGATATCTATATCAGTGCTCCGTCCCACCTGTCATTTACTGAGTTGTGCCTTTATCAGCATTTCCATGCTGTGTACACGCCCCATCTGTCCATTAATTTAGCATCCATCCAAGTTCTCAGGTAGACAGTTGCAGTATTGTAGCACTTGTGTTCAAGTAATCCTTCTTTTACTTAATATTGACCTCCAAGTGCAAGAGCAGTGATGCTATCAATTCATATATGCCAAAGGGAAGCTGTCAAGTGCCTCCGTTAAGTGAAAGATGAAAGTTCTCAACTTGATAAGGAAAGAAAAAATCCATACAGTGAGTAAAAAACAAATCTATCCGTGAAATCGTGAAAAAGGAAAAAAATATCCTGCTAGTTTTGCTGTACCACCTCATCAAAAGTTATGGCCATGGTACGTGGTAAGTGCTAGTGAAGATGGAAAAAGCATCACATTTGTGGGTGGAGGGTATGACAGAAAAGGTGTGCTGATCGACAGCAAAGTGTCATACCAGAAATCATGGAGCCTATACACAGACTTCATTCAACAAGCAATCCCTGACACAGGTGACCACATTCACATAATGTTTTATCACAGTGTATTGTTGTAATTGTTCTATTTTATCACTAGATAGTGTTTTTAATCTCTTACTGAGCCTAGTTTATAAGTTAAAATGTATCATAAGTATCTATGCATAGGAAAAAACAAATTAGATAGGGTTCAGCACTATCACGATTTCAGGCATCCACTGGGGGTCTTGGTGTCCCTCTCTGATAAGGGGGGATGATCATACAACTGTAGTAACGAAAGGACTTGGGTATTAGTTGTCAACCTTAAACATGAAGCAACAAGGTTTTAGCTAGCCCAAATGAGTTTATTAGGGAATGGCGGGGGAATTTCAATTTGGGACAAGTAAATTAGAGCAAACCACAGGCAAGTCAGAGGAGACAAAGGGATTCCAGCCAGCTTTTATTAGGTTTAGGAAGAAAGTGGGAAGGACTGTGGTAGTTCTTTATTGGCTGCAATTGGTTGGCAACTTGTTCCCAAGTCAGAAGGAAATGTCTTTCTTCCTATCGGGATCTGCAGGCTGCAGTGAGCAGTGTGTGCATGACACCGCTCCCCTCACGCCTTCCCAGCCCATTTGGACCTACGTTTCCTCTGTTCGTTTGCACCTGGTGCACGAACAGACAGATCAATGAGACAAGATGGAGTCCACCAATGGTTTTAAATACACTTAGAACTTTAAGCTGTGATTAAGGTTGCATTTTAAGCCAGTGAAGAAGAAAATGTACTTTAGAAACTGCTGTTGGGACAACCAGCTGGCCTTTTGGAAAGGATAATTTCTTCCATTAAAACAAAAAAGCCCAGCTCTTTCCTTTGACAAAATTCAGGCTGAGCGAAGATTTAAACATTCTACAAAGAAACTGTGAAATACTAAAAGAAAATACGGTAAGTTAAATATATCAGAGTGGGGCCCTGACTGGTGTGGCTCAGTTGTCTGGGTGTTGTCTTACACAGGGAAAGGTCGCCAGACCTATCAGAGTCAGGGCACAGGCCTGGGTCACAGGTTTGGTCCCGGTCCAGGCAGTGTGAGAGGTAACTGATTGATGTTTCTCTCCCTCTCATTCTCTCTCCTTTCTCCTCTCCCTAAAAACAAGTAAATAAAAATCTTTAAAATAAATAAACCGAAAAACTGAGGTCTGGAAAAAGTCCAGCTGTTGTTAGTATAATGAGAACAGTTTGTATGACATCCATGTAACCTGGCAGTCAAGGAGAGTGGACTGGAATGTTCATGTGTGAATAATGCTGATTTCAGTGTACTAGTCAGTGGGGGTGTTAGGTGCCACTGAGTGGAATGTGTACTGTGTGGCTGTCCACTCAAAATGACTGAGTGAATAGAGCAATGAATCTGCATCAAATTTGCCTTAAGCTTGAACACTCTTCCATGGATACTTTTCGGATGATTCAGAAGGCCATAGCTATGGGCAGCTAGTGATTGGCAGCTTCATCACAACACCACGTCTGCTCATACATCACATTTGGTGCAGAGCTTTTTGGCCAAATATCAGATCACTCAGGTGGCTCAGCCCCCACATAGCCCAGATTTGGTACCCAGTGACTTCTGGCTTTCCCCAAAACTAAAATCACCTTTGAAAAGGAAGAGATTTCAGACCATCAGTGAGACTCAGGAAAATACAACGAGATAGCTGATGGTGACTGAGAGAACTGTGTGAGGTCCCAAAGTGCCTGCTTTGTAGACAGCTGAGGTGTCATTGTCCTATGTGCAATGTTGTTTCCTGTATCGTGTCTCTTCTTCAATAAATGTTTCTACTTTTCACATTACATGGTTGGATACCTTCTGGACAGACTTTATATAACATTCTAGGGGTAGACATGGTATAGCTAAAAAGACTTTGGAAATATGATAACTACAACAGTACATATTTAGATTCCAGCTGATTAAATAAATGCTTATTTTTAGTGATTTAAAGTCTAGCAATAGCGAAACCATTGTCAGAATCCATTCACATATGAAGGCATATGTGAATATTTTGATGTATTTCTTCAATATGTAAGAAGCAGTTTCTCATAACTCCAACTACTTACTCTGTGAAAGTTATCCTCCCCCTTTCTTTATAGATGAGGAAACAAGCTAAAAGATTAAATGATTCAAGGTGATTCAGAAAGTGGATCCAAGACCAGTTTTCTGCCTAAATCTCATACTCTTTTTAGTACTACATTCTTATACTTATTTCGGTAATGTAAAACAGACAATTTGAGATATCTCTGGTGAAGATATTTTATTTTTCATAAAAATATAATTGTACAATGCTCTTCAGAGAAAGAAAAATCCTTTCAATGCCCCCAAATACCATGTGGTTTAACAGTTATCTTCCACTCCCTTAAAACTAAATATATAATTGATAATAAGCAACTGATTTCTTGGGAAATGTAGCATTTATATTTCCCTTTATTTTAACTAAAGGCAAGTCCAGTTAGACCTATACTTTTGTAATAAGCCAAATCAAATCTATTATAATTCAAAAACAATAAAAGAAAATGCTAAATGGTAAAGCTGATAAATACTGCCAATTAGCTGGTAAACTGTGATATGAATTTGCTGCAGTAAGATAGATTCAGACTGGAATACAATAGAAAGATTTCAGATAAAATAGAAAAAAAATTTAAGAACTTTAACCATATCCTAAAACTTGACCCAGTCAAACTTATTCCATATCATGTTCAGTTGCTCTAATATATGGCAGGTCTGTGCTACATGGATGACGGATGATGACTGGGCTAAATACACAGTTTCCCCCGCACCTTCCTTTCTTTGGGTGAAGAAGAAAACATGACTCTGGCACTCAGGGAGCAAGGAGAATAGCACTGACCCAGGGAGACTGCGCTCACTGATTCTCACCCTCTTCTGTTCTCCCTCAGCCTGCCAGGACAGGTACGTGAGCGAAACTGGGATTTCAGTACGCTGCTCCTGAACTGAAATGGGGACAGAAACCAGCCGTTTAATCAGTGACATTTATGAACATGCTTCAAGTGGCCAAAGCGTGCAGTCAGCACAACACTCAGAGCAATCATGTTCCTTTTTAAAACCAAGGCGCTTTCTCTTGGTTTTGATCTACTGCAAAAACCAAATAGCTAGGTTTTGGAATAAACTCAAATAAATTGTAATTTACTTTCACCCAAAATTATACATCTTCTATCTGACCTGAGGACAACATCACTACTCTTGTAAAGATGCTGGGGGTGGGGGATATAGCTCAGATAAATAACCCTGTGATTTAAAATTACAAAAAGAGAAGAAATACTTCAAGCACAATGGAGACATTGCATTGAAGAGCCACATTCGTTTTGGAATGTTTGCTTTGAAAACAACTGTTCTGGGGAATTCAAAAGGTACCGAACATAGTAACATACAATACATCTTGGGTTGTTTTGCAAAATAAAAAATATACATTTGAGTAGACCAGAAGGCAAAACAGACCCATTATAGTCTGAACGCTACATTTAAAACACTGAAATTCTGAAGGCCTAAATATTAACAATCCTTTATCTGTATTTGTTATCCTAAAAAGACATTAAATACTCTTATCACCCCCATCCACCCAAACACAGAGAGGCCCAACAGTCTGGGCTAGTGGTATATCAGTAGTCACACAGGACTGGACTAGAGATCAGAGTTTGCAACCTAAGTACGGGAGGCACTTTATTCAAATGCATAGCCTAAGAGAAGGGCATGGGGAAGTACCTTGTAATCTGAAACTACGCGGTCCATCTCATGTTCCACCTTACAGACAATGTATTATATGACGCCTCCTCAAAAACTACCATTTCATAACAGAATGTAGTTTGTTTGGAAGTCAAATATTTGCTTCGTTAGAGCCAAGGACCATTATAATTTAGCAGCAACAGGGAACATATCTCCTGATTTAACTATGGGAAAGAAAAAAGAGAGGATCTCAAAGGGGAAACCAAAAGGTTCCTGGGTCTATTTTAGTGTATCATACTATGAGTTGGATTCCTCGACCATCATGCCATCGGGAGGTCAGGAAGACAGCAGACGTAGCTGCAGTGAGAACTGGAAAGGACTACTCTGCCCTCTGCACCTCCCAGCTGTGGTGCTGTGCACAACTCTAGCTCCAGTGTTTCACTCCAGAGTGGAGGCATCGCTGGGGATGAACCAGACGCACACCTACAGTGTGTTTCTTTCTGGCTCAGAACACATTCATAAGGAAACTCATGTCAGGGAAGAAACTAAGTGTTCTGGTTATGGCTACAGCCATTAGGTCTACCAGCAATTTGTTCATTTTAATCCAGGTCTCCTGAGGCAGAAACTCAATCTCAGCAGCTAAAGTTACTCTATTTTCTTTAGAAAAATTTTCCTAGTTGACTGCCCAAGGAAATGTGTGTGAACACTCAATCCTGTCCTCCCCACATACACATATAGACATACGATAGAAATACACACAGACATATACACTTTAGGTTGTCAAGATGATGTACACTGCTGAAATGCCTAAAAGGTTATTTCTTGCTTAAAAATAAAATTTGACTGATAATTCTCCAAATATGGACTGGGCCCTAACAAATTTTTATAAGTACAGTTTGAGAGGACAGCAACAGAAGTTCCAAATAGAGGCTGTCTTGAGGGCTTTCCTGATAGATGCTTTTAACAAGTACATTATTTAAAACAGGCATATCACTATGGGTTATAAAAATAGAAATGTATCTATTTGTTAATATATATTCACAGCTTATGCTGGAATGGCTCACAGGAGAAATCGTGGTTCATGCAGAAAACAGACGTTACTCAAGTAAATATAAAGAAATAAGATTAGGTCCATAAAGGCCAAGAACTTAGTCAGTAATCAGCCCATTTGGTTTCTCTTTGTAGGGCAATCAAAAACATGACAGGACGTGACACCTAAACAAACATACACATACAATTACATGGAAGGAATATAAATTAACCAATAAAGCAAGGTGGAGTTAAGGTGCAAAAATACAATCTTTACCCATTTTTCTCTACCCCTGTGGTTTCAAGCATTGCAACATGTTAAATGCCATGGGTGGCAATACCAACCAGGACAGGTCTTGAATGTCTGTAAATTTTCTAAGTGTTAAAAGTTAAAGCAAAACCCTTTGAGATCTATGATCACACATTTGGTAGAAATTGCAGATTTACAGAGATGACTATGGAGCAGTAGGTAGTAAATGGAGCCAAGAAGTATAATATTGTCCATTCATCCTTCATAGGAATCAGGATACTGATTTCAGTCACTGACTTATCATTTTATATGATCTTCACCCTGAAAAATAAATCAAAGTTACCAATGTAAGAATGTTTTTAAGATCATTTAGTTAATGTGTTTTAAAATGCAGCTGACTTGTCTGGGTAAATCCCTCCCATTGATCTGCCAACAGCAACCAACACTCCACTATGAGAGGAGAGTATACTCAGCCCACACGAAGTGTGCACCTCAAGTACCCAGCTTGGGTGTTAGGGGAGGCTGTGCCACTGAACCCTACAGGATATCTACTACATTAGGCCATGCTACCAAGACAGAGAGTCATAGCAGCTCTACCTAATACATAGAAACAAACACAGGGAGGCTGCCAAAATGAAGAGACAAAGAAACATGGCCCAAATGAAAGAACAGATCAAAACTCCAGAGAAAGAACTAAACAAAATGGAGATAAGCAATCTATCAGATGCAGAGTTCAAAACACTGGTTATAAGGATGCTCAAGGAGCTTAGTGAGGACTTCAACAGAATAAAACAGATCCAGGGATACACCAATTGAAATGAAGAACAATTTATAGGGGAACAACAGTAGAGTGAATGAAGCCAAGAATCAAACCAATGACTTGGAACATAATGAAGCAAAAAACAACCAATCAGAACAACAAGAAGACAAACAAATCCAAAAAAGTGAGGACAGTGTAAGCAGCCTCTGGGACAACTTCAAGTGTTCCAACATTCACATCATAGGGGTGCCAGAAGGAAAAGAGGAAGAGCAAGACACTGGAAATCTGTTTGAAAAAACAGTGAAAGAAAACTTCCTTAATTTGGTGAAGGAAATAGACATACAAGTCCAGGAAACACAGAGAGTCCCAAACAAGATGGATACAAAGAAGCCCACTCTAAGACACATCATAATTAAAATGCCAAAGGTTAAAGATGAAGAGAGAATCTTAAAAGCAGAAAGAAAAAAGAAGTTAGTTACCTACAGGGGAGTTCCCATAAGATTGTCAGCTGATTTCTCAAAAGAAACTTTGCAGGCTAGAAGGAATTGGCAAGAAATATTCAAAGTCATGAAAAGCAGAGATCTACAGCCAAGACTGCTCTACCCAGCAAAGATATCACTTAGAATCGAAGGGCAGATAAAGTGCTTCCCAGACAAGAAAAAAAAAAACGAAAGAAATTCATCATCACCAAACCATTACTGTATGAAATGTTAAAGGGATTTAAGAAAAAGAAGATCAAAACTATGAACAATAAAATGGCAAAGAATACAAATCTAAACAATTGAATCTGAAAAACAAACTAAGCAAACAAGAACAGAGACAGAATCATGCATATGGAGAGCTTTTGATGATTGCCAGATGGGAGGGATATATTTGGGAATGGGTGAAGAGGTGGAAGAATTAAGAAATACAAATAGGTAGTTATAGAATAGCCATAGGGATGTAAAGTACAGTATAGGAAATGGAGCAGCCAAAGAACTTATGACGCATGGACATGAACAATGGTGGGGGGATTGCTTGAGGAAGTGGGGTTGCTGGGTGGAACAGGGCAAACGGGGAAAAGATCAGGATAACTGTAATAGCATAATCGATAATATGTAAATAAAAAATAAAGTTTGGTATCTACAGGAAGGCTGTTTTAAAATATAGACTGAAAAAAAGCCTGAGTTGATTTGCCTTTTTTCCCCTTAACTCAATTTAGATTAAGCAAATGTTATATCATCCTTGAATTTTATAAATTTTTTAAAAGATAAAAGTTTATAACATTTCAAGTGCTCCCAAATCAATCACAATGATGAAATCAATGACGTGACATCTTCATTCTATAATCTATAGTCTCCTTATTAAATGGTGTTGGGACAACTGGATATTCACATGCAAAAGAATTTAGACTTCTACCTCATACCATATAGAAAAATTAGCTCAAAATGGATCAATGACCTAAATATAAGAGCTAAACTAAAATCTATTAGAAAAAAGATAAGGGTAAGTCTTCATGACCTTGTATTTGGCAATGGGCTGTTAGATGTGACATGCAAGGCAAGAACAACAACAACAAAAAATAGATAGCCCTGGCCAGGTGGCTCAGCTGGTTGGAGTGTCATCTCATACACTGAAGGGTTGAGGATTTGATTCTTGGTCAGGGCACATACCTAGGTTGCGAGTTTGATCCTTGGTCAGGGCACATGCAGGTGGCAACTGATTGATGTTTCTGTCAATCAATGTTTCTCTCTCACATCTATGTTTTCTCTGTCTCTCTCCCTTACTCGCTCTCTAAAATCAATAATCATATCCTCAGATGAGGATTAAAAGAGAAAGAAAGAAAAATAGATAAACTGGACTTCCTTAAAATTAAAATCTCTTGTTCACCAAGGGATACTATCAAGAAACAGAAAAGACAACCTACAGAATGGGAGAAATATCTGAAAATCATATATTTGATAAATGTTTAGAATCCAGTTATATAAAGCACTCTTAACATTCAACCACAGAATGAAAAAGAACTCAATCAAAACCTGGGCAAGAGACTTAAAAGAGACATTTCTTCAAAGAAGATATACACATGACCAACAAGCATAAATATGAAAAGATGCTCAACATCATTAGTCATTAGGGAAATGCAAATGAAAACCACAACCAGCCCTAGCCAGACAGCTAAGTTGGTTAGAACATCATCCTGATATAACAAAGGGTATGGGTTCAATCTCCAGTCAGGGCACATACAAGAATCAACCAATGAATACATAAATAATTGGAACAACAAACTGTTGTTTCTCTTTCTCTTTCTCTAAAGATCAATTAATTAAAAAAAAGGTTTTTTTGGTGCCCTGGATGGTGTGGCTCAGTGGATGGAGTGCCTGCCTGGGAATCAAAGGGTCACCAGTTTGATTCCCAGTCAGGGTACACACCTGGGTTGCAGGCCGGGTCCCCAGTGAGGGGCACAAGAGAAACTACCATACATTGATGTTTCTCTCCCTTTTTTTCTCCCTCCCTTCTCCTCTGTCTAAAAATAAATAAAATCTTAATTTTTTTTTGTTTAAAAAAGCACAACCAGACACCACTTCACATCTACTAGGAAAGCTATAGTTTTTAAAAACAGAAAATAAAAAGTGTTGACAAGATGTAGAAAAAAGGGAAGCTTCATATTTGCTGGTGGGAGTGTAAACTATTTCAGCCACTGTGGAAAACAGTTTGTGGTTTCTGTAAAGGTTAAATATAGAATTACCACATGACCCAGCAATTTCACTTCTAGGTATATACCCCAAAGAAGTGAAACAGTTACTCAAACACACACTTGTACATGCATGTTCATAGCAGCACTGTTCACAATAGTCAACAGGTAGAAACAGAAATCCATCAATGAATGAATGGATAAACAAGTTGTGGTACTGATATACAATGGAATATTATGCAGCTATAAAATGGAATAAAGTACTGATACATGCTACAATGTGGATAAACCTTGAAAATATTATGCTAAGTGAAAGAAACCAGACACAAAATGTCACATACTGTATGACCCATTCATGTGAAATACCCATGTTAGGTAAAGCCATAGAGACACAAAGAAGATTCATAGGGCTGGAGGGAGAGGATAATAGTGAGTAACTGCTTAATGAGTTTGGGGTTTTCTTTTGAGGTGAGGAAATGTTTTGCAACTAGATAAAGGTGGTGATTTACAACATTTTAAGTAATAAGGAATGTTACTTTAAAATGGTTACTTTTTGAAGTAACTTTAAAATGGTTAATTTTATGTTATGTAAATTTCACCTTACTAAGAAAATTCTTTACAGCAATGGGCTACTATACAAGATAGAGCCTGGGCTAGGCGAGGACCCTGCACACCTTACTTACCCTTCTGCTATTTCTTTGTCTATTAAAACAAAAGTATAATTCCTGAACACAATTATTGGAATAAATACTTAAAATACTTAAGTGAAAATACTTTGTAAATTGTAAATCAAAATACAAATAAAAGGTGTTATTAATAATAACTATGGTACACTCCCATTTATGAACTCGTTCAACTTAGTAAGTCTTCCATAAATTTATCAGTTGCTCTTTATAGACCTCATATACAATGCATTTCAATATTTAGAATCTAACCATTTCACTCAGTATACTACAAACAACATCGCCATTTTATTTATTGAAAGATATGCAGGGGGAAAAAAGTCACACAGAAGAAAGTGGTCAGTAGAAATCCTACTTTAAGACGCTCCTCTACATGTATATAAACTGTCCATCTATTGCACTCACAGGAATTGCTGTTAGCGTCTGTTTTCCCAGCTTTCGTGTGCCTGTTTAAGTTCTGCTGAGATTTGCTCTGCTCTTCTCCAGTGAGTAGTGCCTTTATTTCAGAAGGGATTTTTCCTTGGTCCATTGCCATACACCACTGCTTGTACTGAAATATTTAAAATATATTTATGTAATATTTTACTAGTTTGAGTTCAGAAACCACTGGTAGAAATGCTAGACATAAGAACTCCCATGCCCAGAAATCACACTGGCTGCTGGAAATCCCACCCTCCATTGTCTTTCCTATTGCCAAGCCAGGACAGGGGATGAGGCCTGCCACCTTCCACAAGAGGGTGAGAACTGCTGCTCGATCTTCTGGTGATGCACTGCAGTATCGCTCAGATTAAAAAGGTCCCTCTGGTTATAAGAATGTGTCTCCATAGTGTGCCACTAACTAGAATTCATCTCTTTTGGCTAATGCTCACATTATTATTTCTATTCCTAAAATAAATATTTTAGTAATTCCTTTCTCTCTTTCATAAACATTCATTAAACATCTACTTTCTACTAGAGTAAGTACTATGGACTCTGGGGTATACAAAGATTAATCAGCTGAAAGATTATGTCCTCAACTGCAGAAGGTGAGAAATAATTTATATTGGGTTGGCTAAAAAGTTCGCTTGTTTTTTTCCCATAAGATGGCTCTAGTAGTGCTTAGTTGTCTTTAACTTCATTTGAAACAATTTTGTTAGATTGTATAGTAACAGCTGTAATATCAGTGTGCATTTAAAAAAGACTTATCAAAATTGGTGAATTTTTGTGTAGCCATTTCAATATTGAAGACGGAAGATAATACACAACATTATTGGCATATTATGCTTTATTATTTCAAGAAAGGTAAAAACGCAACTGAAATGCAAAAAAGGATTTGTAAAGTGTTTATGGAGAAGCTGCTGTGATTGACTGAACATGTCAAAAGTGGTTTGTGAAGTTTTGTGCTGGACATTCCTCACTTGATGATGCTCCATGGTCGGGTTGACCAGTTGAAGTTGATAGGGATCAAATTGAGACATTAATTGAGAACAATCAATGCTATACCACATGAGAGATAGCCTATATACTCAAAATATCTAAATCAATAAAGTTATTGCTGAAAATGAAAAATCTGCCTTTTAGTTTACAGAAAAAGCTGAATGGACCTTTGAGCCAACCCAATTGCATAAGTCAAATTTCATATACTAACAAAAAATCTACTGAATAGTGTATTTCTGAACTTTCTTTATGCCTCAACCTTATTTTCTTACCTTCTAAAAAGCAGTGGTAGCCTGTTCTACCTTTGTTATGATCATAGTAGTATTCTCTCTCTCTTCTCCAACCTGCCACCTCCTCCCCAAGCTCACAGTAATGGGGCTTCAATTCTCTTTTACATTTCTACAATCACTACCCAAAATCTGAATGAATAGCCTTGGCTGATATGGCTCAGTGGATTGAGCACAGGCCTTCGAACCAAAGGGTTGCTGGTTTGATTCCCAGTCAGGGCACATGCCTGGGTTGTGTGCCAGGTCCCCAGTAAGGGATGCGTGAGAGGGAACCACACATTGATGTTTCTCTCCCTCTCTTTCTCCTTCCCTTCCCCTCTCTCTAAAAGTAAATAAATAAAATCCTTTAAAAAATCCAAAATCTGAATGAATAACTGAAAGCATGAAACATGCCAAATAAATAAATGTTTAAACACAAATGGTATCATACTAGTCATATTGTTATATTGCTTTTTCCACTTAGCAATATATCATAAATGTTTTTCTACATTAATAAATATATAGGTGCTCTGTGATTTTTACTGGGTGCAAAGTAGTCCAATATATGAATGTAGTATAATTTATTTAACCAATCCCCTATTGTTGTACATTTGGGTTATTTTCCATTTCTCTTCTATGATAAACAATCCCTCAGTGAAATAGTCATGTACATTCCACTCCTACCAGCAGTCTGTGAAAATGCCTCTTTGCCCACATACTGGCTGACCAGCTGACCAATGAATATTCTTTCCCGTGTTTGTCAACTGGATAGGTGAAAATTGGTTCCTTCACGTTTTAACACACATCTCTTTGACTGGGAAACAGAGGATTTTTTTTTCATGCATTTATTGACAGACTTTCTTACCATTTCCAGTTCCTCTCTGAGGGCACATATGGCTCTTTCCCGACTGGATACCAATTCTTCCAAGTACTGATACCTCAGTTTCTTTCTGGCCCGGCACTCTCTTGCACTCTGTCGGCTCCTCTCAAGTTTTGCCTTCAAGTCGATTTTGGCTGGCTTTCGGCCACGCTTGCCGGGCTTCTTCACTTTGCCTCCAACCACCTTCAGCAAGAGAGAGAAGACAAAATTTTTTTCTCTTAGTTCCGTGTCTACAAAGGTGACTACGGCTGCCTACTAGCAAGGAAAACATTTACAAATAATAAATTAATAAAGCCTGTGGAACTCAAAAAGTACAACCCCATCAAATGCCTCATGAGGCTTTGCTTCATAACTTTTTTAGTACTTTTGATACGATGAATATGAGAGAAGAAATAATGTAAGCTTTCACTATTTTTTCAATAAAATTTAAATAGTTTAACAGTAAACTTTATAAACCATATGTAGCTAGATAATAAAAAACTAAATGATTACCAAATTTTTATTGACTTGAGAAAATAATAAGTTAAAAAAGTCAATATTCAAAATTGTAAGTTCAGTATGATCTCAACGTTATAAAACACAAAGAAGAAAGGATGTTAACCAAAGTTCAATGAGGATTTCTGATAGGTGTGATTATATTAGCTTTTTTTCACCTGTATTTGTTATGATTCTTAAATTTTTACAATTAGAAAAATATAAAATTTATATGTAAAATTATGTATACATAAAAACAAATATGTATTCTAAGCAATATGGCTATAAATTCCCTCTTCAAATTCGTTGAGCTCAAAGAAACAGAAGGGAAGTCCCTGAAATTTTCAGGATAATTCTTTCCTGTCTTTAGAAGCCTATAATTATAACCCTAGACTGTCTCAGGAGATTCCTACCTGTTATTCATTTACCTGCATAGGCACAATTTTTTGGTGACTGGCAAAGTAATTTAATCTCCTTCATTGTTTAGCTTTGGAACCTCCCCAAGTTCTTATACAACATATAACTATGAGGTAAAGATGATGAATTTTTATATACATGAAACTAGAACTTACATATCAAATAAGTTTTCTTCAAAGCAGTCACTGTAAGGGGGTGGGGGTACATTTATTCCAGTGAACAAGCACTTTTGGAAAGAGCCAATTTCTTACAAGCCACAATACAACATGCCTTTAGAGGCTACATTATTTTAGAGCAATACATTTTTCTTTAAATTTCCAAACAACTGGAGCATCCACTTTGTTTATCTGATGAGGTTCTGAATGATGTCCAGTTCTTTCTGAAAACTACCCTCAGAGAATAAAAATGTCAGTGTACTGAAAGGAATATTGCTTTGGTGTTAAAGGACGTTCTAAAAGAGAAACACAGGCATATCATTAGAATAAATGCAGAAACCTTTCCAGGTAACAAAACTCAAAGGACCAATATTCATTTGGCTACAGAAATGCTGATTTGTTGGTTTGTTTGAAATCACTATTAATATCATACACCAACAAGGCCTAGTAGTACCCTATAAAGATCAGATCGTTACTATGCATAATGGCTAGGTCAAGAAAACCACAATTTAAATGTGGATCAGCCACATTTACCAGACCCTGTATCATAACATGATGGCTAACCACCGCATCTAGTATTTTACAGGATGGCTCTGAAATGAAACTGAATACTCCAAGGGAAAAAAATCTTTCCTTTCCATCACCATCTTAAAACCTAGTTGATTCAGTACTACTCCTAAATTAGTTTCAACTTTTCAAAACTGGTCTTTTAAAGCTTTTCTATGCTGCATCATTCCAATATAATGATACGCATCTCAGGAAATCTTCCTTCTATGTCAATATTTGACTAGCAATTCCAGGATGGCTAATTAATCCAAATACTACTATGGACTCAATTTTAAATTATGTTTACATCACATCAATTGCACAATTTTAATAAAATATTTTGAAATCATCCCACATTAAAACAAAGTATATTTACTTTGCTACAGTTTTTAAAAATATATATTTACAGCACAAACTCATGTCTACAGTGAAATAAATGGTAATCACATCTATTCTTTATGTAGTAAAATGAGTCATCACACAACAGTATAATCCAATACCTCATAGATTGCTGTTTTTAATTAATGCAGGAGTGGCTACTTTTGAAAAGAACAATCATAAAAATCAAACAGAAGTTATAATCCTTTGTTTAGTTTACATGGTAGCAAAATATTTAAATTGGAACTGTTTTATCCCCTTTTTATTAGAAAGGCATATAAATGAACCCAGGGTTCCTGTATTTTATGTCATCTCCTGTAACATTCCATTTAAAGCCATGTAGCCACCACATCTCGAGCTTAACTTTTCCTGAGGAAGTTCTGGCTTTTGGTCCCAGCTAACATCTGATTAGTGTACCAGTTTTCAAGAGTCAAGCACATCACAGGATTGTTGTAAACTTTAAGTAGAATAATGTGTGACAGAACTTTGTAAAAAAAAAAAGCATTATACAAATATAGAACCATACTAGTTGCTAACAATAGTAGTTAACTGAACTTTATATATTCCGTAAGCCATAAAGATTGGGATGGATAGGGGAAGTTAACTAGAAACTAGGAACCAGAAACTAAAACTGAAATTAACCCCACAAATTCCTTAAATATCTCTAGGCCAAAAATCATTCTTACCTATGTTTCATAAAATTTTCACAAACTCAGTGATAACTACATTGTCCCCTTGCTCTTTCCTACCTCCTCTGGGAGAAAGCTTTTTTCTCATCTGTATTTTTTATGATTTTTAAATGGTTTCTAATTTATGTGTTGAAAAAGGCTGGGAATTAAAATGAAACTACTGGATTTGGCCCAGACAGAGTTCTGGATCATTCTAAATGAAACCGTTACGGAGAAAGACAGAATAATCTGCGAAGGCCCAAGTGTGGGGAGCACAGGCTTCCCGGTCAACGGGTGTGCCTTCTGCAGGAAGAGGCGAGACTGCAGCTGCGTGCTCTCCAGGGCCTTGTTCAAATGAGGGAGCCTCCAGTGTCCAGAGTAAATACTATCCCGAAGGCTCTTGAATCATTTTAGTTCTAGCTCTTTAGGTACAAAGAACAACAATCTAAATTCAGAGCTAAATCAGGTGTGGTGGGGGAACAAGGCCTTGCGTTAGGCCCTCTACATGTTGTCTCGTATTATTTCACCCCACCTCAGGTGAAGTAAGTTCTCTTTTCCTCATCTTTTTCAGGTAAATGGGGAAAGTTAACTCCTTTATTCAACAATCATTTACTGAACACCCACTATGCCCCAAACACTAAAATTCTGGGAGTACTAAAACAGGACAGGGTCCTTACTTTTCAATGTATTTAGACTCGTGAGACATAGCAGACACAAAAGAAACAATAATGTTACAAAGGGCAGGATAACTGTACATACGGGAGTGCTGGTGGTGGACACAGACATACACAGAGGTACGCACAGTGATCTCTTTATTGTATAGACGACAACATTTTAGTCCAGATATTTTCAGTGTCAGAGAAGGCTCTGGATCCAAGTCCCCTGATTTGCATTGTAGCAACTTGTCACAAGGTAACTCACTCTCACCAAGCATGCCTATTCCTCTCCAGGTTCTTAGGTAACGCCCATTCACTTGAACATATAATTCCCTGAAAAGGCTCTACCTACATTAATATAGCAGTGTTTCATATGCACTGCTGTATCAATGCTATATAGCCATTCATTTAATCCAACTTGCTGTAGCATTAGGCACCTGATGGAAGGCAATGGTGAGGTTAAGTAACAACCTTTTTCATTTTATGCTTCTTTGAAATTTTCATCTACTGTTATGACTCTCCACTCCCACCCACTGCAGTCATGCCAATTTATTCCTCTATAAGATCTCTAGTTTAGCTCTTCCTCTCATTCCTACTACCTACATTAGTCAGGGTCCTACTCACAGATTATAATAATAAGTTCCCAATGGGTCTCCCTACCATCTCCCCTTTTCTACCCCCACTTCCCTAGTGAATCTATCTTGCAAAGAGCTGCCAAGTGGACCTTTCTTTTCAGCTTAATACTACCGTATTTGTACTTCAAGTTATCTTTCTTCACTGTAAAAAAGTAAGACCTGGTCATTACAGAACGGATAAACTTCAATGGCCCTTTGGCCATGTCACTCTCCAGCTCAAGAGAAGACCTTTGGCTCAGCACTGCTTCCTACGTCACCATACCCAGTGTATTAATAGTTGCCTGTGGCTGCTGCAACAATGACCACAAGGTGGCTTAAAACAACAGACATCTATTCTTTCTCCTCTGGAGGACAGAAGTTGGCATGCAGCTGCACTCCCTCTGGAGGCCTAGGGGAGAATCCATCTTTCATTTTTTCCAGGTTCTGGGGCTGTCAGCATTCCTTAATTTGTGGCCATAGTAATCCAACCTCTGCCTCTGTGGTCATGCTGCCTACACATCTGTCTGTCAAATCTCCCTCTGCCTCACTCTTATGAGGACACTTGTCATTGGATTTAGGGCCTATTCAGATAATCCAGGATAAATTCTTCCTCTCAAAATCCTTCACTTAATCACAGCATTTTGCCATACAAAGTAACAGTCACAGGTTCCAGGGGTTACGACACGGATACAGGTTTTTAGGGGCCACCAGTCAGCCCACAACATCCAGGTTTCCTCTCACCCAGCCACTCTTCTCCTCCATCATTCCCAACAGGCAGGCAGCCTCCCTATCAAGTCAGGTCAGTATCCCAAGGGACCCCATCCTGTGCAGTCCTGCCTATTTCTCAGCATTTCTTTAAATGTTCCTTCTCCACGCCCCCACCACCCAAAGGGCAAATACTATGCCTTCTTTGGTTGTGATCAGCTCTAGCCTTCTTTCTTTGAAGCCATGCTCTGCCCTTTATTGCTTTTTTCCCAGATTTTTGAAACATATAGTTAATATCATACTGAATCTATATGTTCTATTGGGTTTTTGGTTGTTTTGGGTTTTTTAAGTGGCCTCACAGATTTAATTTCTAGCTCTTCCAGTAGTGAGAGTTCCTCAGGCACAGAAGCTATGTTTTCTGCTACTTATGCAACCCCCATTGTATCCAGCACAGGACCAGGCATTTATTAAGACTGATCATTAAATGAATAAATACAAGGAAAATTAGCAATATTTTAAAACTGACTTGTCGATTATTACTACCAACAACTTATAGAAATATGTTTTAAA